TATGTAAATGCATATAGCAGAATAGTAAGACCAAAAACAGTGGCGTACCCTTGTTGACTTGCAAAGTTACAAATTTACCCTTGTCCGGCATCAGCCAAATAGTCATTCTTTAATTCCACAGGTGCAGTGTTCCCTGATTACATTGCTAATAAATTGCATACTGGATTGCCCTTCAACCTTAGCTGTCCTGTTAACATTACCACCTTTTTCCATAGCCATTCTGACCCCCATACCTATTTTGCCAAGGGGCCACACATCTGGGAAACAACAGGAGTGTGACTGAAGTGAAGAGCACTCAGGAGAACTAGCTTCCCCAGCATCCAGCTCTGGGACAGGACTGAGATGTTGCATAGTGTAAAACGTGGATAGAGGGGTTCCTTCCTTGTAGGCTGCAAGCCCCATGGAGCAGGGAATTTTCCATGCTCCTAGTTCCATCTTCTCAAGAATCACCCAACTGGTTTTGGGTCTCTGGCAAAGTCCCCTGTGGCCAGGGAGCCAAGGCTTAAAATACCTGTGGCCCGAGCTGCACTTTCCTGGCCACCACCTGACCACCATGCTGTAGCCACTGGAGAGCTAGGCTCTGGGGCCAGGCCGGACTAAAGACTCACCGTGTCTCCACTGTTCTGTGGAGAAGCCAGGGCACTGTAGGTGCACACATACCAGAAGTAGTACAGCACCTGCATGGACGATATTGCCTCATTGTTGCCACCTACTCACAACTCCAGGCTGAGTTCCAGCATGGGATTTTCTTTGCAACTGGGGCCCTGCTTCCAACTGAGCATGGATGTCCAATTCTCCCAGACTTTCAATCTGTCCAGCTATACTCTGAAAAAGCCCCCAGTTATCTGACTATCTGGGTGAAAACCCTAAATCTGATAGTTCTCCACCACTTGGCAACTGGAGTGGGGGTACTGATGCTATCAGGCATATGAGAACAAGGAACAAGGACATAGTTTGAGACAATAGGATTGCGGGAGGAAAGAGGCAGCCTGGGTGAGGGAATTGGTTATAAGTACACTAAAGTCTCATAAGCCTAGGTGATTGTAACCTGCAATGATATTTGAGAAAACCTACCTACATTAGATTTGTATGGGATGGTTTATAGAGGGATGATCCTGCCTCAGGCTTGGACTAGATGACCTCTCAAGGTCCCTTCTAGTCCTGCTTCTCTATGATTCTTTAGCTTCCTCTACAAGTTACCAGTATCATGTAATTTACTGGTTAACTGTGCAATTATCTTGAGACCAGCAACATGTGCAAAGTACTTATCACACAATAAAAAGCTCCAACCAGCCATCAAGCTAGACCTCAAAATTGTGCACTAACTTTATAGCTGGTTGCTGTTGAGCTTTAATTTGCATGTGTATCAGGGACTCACCTATGGCTGGGAGCTCTGTCAGCTGACGGGGCTCCCAGCCACAAGGGTGTACCTTGCCCAGCCAGGAATATGAGTCTCGCAGCTGCTGGGGACTCTCAACTGCTGAGAACCTCACAGCTGCCAGGACCCAGAGTCCCATCGCTACTGACACTGGGTCCCCACAGTGTGCCTCCCTGCAAATCCCCAAGGTAGGAGGATTGCCGCTGCAACCATCTCCCCATCCTGGAAGGGCATAAAACCCCTGGACTGTGAGCATCATTGCAGGGGCAGTTCTCCCATCCAGAGATACAGGAAACCTTCAGGGCCAGAGGATCACCACAGGGCTGATCCCCCTCCCCAGGGATGAATGAGGCAACCCCGCAGCTGGGAGCCCCTCAACTCGGGTATGTGGGGCTCCCAGCTACAGGAGTTTGCTTCTTGCTTGTGGAGGAGGAGCCCGAGATCAAGCTTCCCCTGCACTGGCAATAAGGCATGATGGAATCTAATCCATGATCCCACAGTTGCACCTCCTGCATGCAAATGTGGCATGGCAGAGGAGGCATGACTGTGTGAATTAGATCCTGTTGCCCCTTTAGCTGCACATGTAGAGGGAGCCTATGATTCTTTGATACCCATCTGTAAAATGTTAAGACCAAACATTCAACATATTTCTGGAATTAGACCCTTACATTCACCTTAGTCAATTATTTAAGTGACTATAACCAGTTGTGCAGCTAAGCAGGGTCAAGCATGACACCAATCCTGCAGAGACACAAAAAGAGCAGCAGCTACACTGCCAGCATTGCTGCCACAGCCACTAACACTGACACTGCTCCATGCACAGCTGCTTCCTGGGGTGTTCAAGTGCCCAGTTACATCTCAGATTATAACTCCCATTTGGCTTTAGGAGTTGTTTTGCATTCTATACAGAACTGAAAATCAGGCCACTTATCTAATTGCTTACATGCAAATGTAGGTATCTAACTTCAGATTGGATAATGTTGGCCTTATCTCTTCAAAACAGCTAACAGAACAGAATTTGCAATTTAATAATTGAATTGAACGTATATAGTGTTCAGCATGCTGGGCTTTCAGCAAATACTTTTAATCCCTTTTCTTTTTCTTATTTTAAGTATCCTGCAGTTTCTGAAGGCAAATGAATGCATAAACATGCTAAAAATTATGAGTGTAGATGCATTTGATGTTCTGTGGGAGATAAAATTATTCAGCAAACCATATGTGTTTACTTTTAGAACTCTCCATAAAGAAAATAACATCAATATAATATTCTATTTTATTCTGCTGCTGTTTGGTTTACCCATGCTTAATAGAGATCCTTACCTTGTTTCTCCTTCCATTTAGCTTGAGCTAGAGGGTTGAGGTCTACCAATCTTACACTATATGTTCTGTAGCCTAGTCACCTCAGTAGTAAATAGAAACTCATCTGCTGTAGTGCTCAATTTCTGACAGTGTTCATCCAATGCAAATGAAAAAGCTGCTGTATAATTTTTCCCCTATGAATTGATGGCATCTTTCCCAGCAGCAGCAAATATCTATCACTGTAAGTTTTCAGTGAATAGACAGATTGCACGTGAATATATTTTCAGCATCATCAGCTTGCTCTGTCCTCTTTCAAGAAGGGACTTCCACGGGATACAAGAAAACCAGGGTGTCGATATTTAGCTCATACTTTCTGTGCCACATGGCTGGGATGTGAGGGTTAGGTACCCATCTGTTCAGGGAACAGAAAGAGAGATGTGATTCTTTGTTCCTAGAATTTTGTTTTATTTTCTGCAGTAGCCCATCTCCTCGTCCAAGCATTCTCTCACTTATTGTTCACTTCTCTCTTTATGTGACTACCTCTACTTTTTTCTTTCACCTGCAATCCTAGCCTTTAGCTTGTTTTTTTCTTTTGCTGCCTTGCTCATTGTTCATTTTCTTCATTTTTTCTAGTTTACTTGTGCTAAAATTTTAGTCTGATAGCACTTGCCCAAGAAGTTCTCAGCACACTATTTTGACAATCTTCAGAGAAACTGGCCTGATTTAAAAATGTCCTCCCAAAATGCAATGTTTTCATATTCAAAGAACACAAAATTATTCAAGAGATGGAATTTTGTAGGTAACCTGAAAAAGAGAAAATAAAACTGAAATTAATTCAGATATATTCTACTATTCCTACTTTGATTAAAGACACTTCCTTCAAAGACTATAACAGAGTCTTTTTCTGGTGTCACTTGTAGACATAAACATTGAGATAAAAGGCAACATGGGATCACATACAGTCAAGTTAAAATCAGAGTGTTCAATGTGTTGGCAATGCTGTTGTCTCAGTGAATCCTACGCTTATTGATGTAAAGGATCTGACTGTTGCCAAATTGTGCTACTTTATACATGGAAAGAATGGGATTTTTTTTTTCCATGTAAGGAAATGTAAATATGAAAGCTTCCTTATCATTTGAACCAGATGCTTACTGTCATCCAAAAGTGATCATCATTATATCAGGTGGTAACAGATAAAGAAAAACTTTTAATTGTTTTCTACTATAATCATATAGGTGTCCTTGTGATCAGTGATTTCAAGACTTTAGTGAGCATGCAGGTGGTATTGTACATAGGATGTAAAGAGGAAAACATCCATGATTTTACTACTTCATTTCTACTTTAGTAAGTAGCGGGAGATGCAGCCAAATAACCACAATTAATTCAGCACAGTTTGGCACAGTTGTCATTCCCTGCTGTGGAGAGACCCAGATCTGAGCTAGCGTAAGGACTGAATTGGCTCTCATAACTAGAGAGAAGCATTGCCTCCAGATGAGTATTATTGACATAATTTGCAGTGCATTATGGGGAAGCTCATTTGTAGCTTTTTGTCTGATACTTAGCCCGTGAATTAATGCAGTGTCAGTTTCCAGCCTTTGTTGTCTTGTGGCCTTGTATTTATAATTGAAGGTATCTAAATAACACATCAATTTTCTTTTATTGCTGCTTTCATCATATAGCAGAGGTTTTTAACAGCAAAAAATGTGTGTGCGTCTGTTTATTTTTGCTTGCTGAATATGATTTTTAAAAATTCCATGAATTTTCAGTTTTGCCTTCATGTGGGAATGCATGCAGTCTTATAGTTTCTAGCCATAGGCATGTTTTTCCAGAATGCATTTGTATTAAAATCTATTAAACTTTCCTTCACATCTTTTAAGGCACTCTCTCTCTTCACCCTTAGCAATTCAATGTCAAGCATTTTGGAAGCAAGCCTAAAAGATATTGTGTTTTTATGTACCAGCTTGAGTCTCCTCTGGAAAATAGAAAGCATGCCACTTAATGAGCTGCTGAAATATCACTGGGCCAGATACCTAGTCAAATATAAAGCCAATAACCCATTTAATTTTCTTCCATCATGTCCAAATGTAACTTAAAAGTAAAACAGAATGGAACAGTTGTATAGTATTATATAATCTTATGATATTCAGAAGTGCCCAGGGAAAGAACACAGTGAAGTGTAGTGTTTGGAATGCAAGCCAGCACTCCTCAGTTATCAAACATCTGAGCTCACTTTGGTGGAAGCAATGTTTTCTATTTCTGGTAATTTCAGAGATACAAAATGGAATCTGTCAGCTAGTTGCTAATCACAAAAGTCAAAGGCGGAAGGAAATAAGATGTATTTAGAGGCCTTACAGTCTATAGTGAGTGAATTTTGCCACAAATTTGCACATTTTCAGTCTTCAAAATTATTTCATTTGAGAGAGAGAGAAGGGTAGGGTTTCTTGTAATAATATGCACTGCTGGAACATGAAGAAATCATCCTTATCCTCTTGTACAAGTTGTAAATGGTGCTTCCACTGCTTTTCTGTGGTGCTCTGGGCAATATATCAAGCAGAGTGGCAGGTAAGTGGAAAATTTGGGTTCCTAAGTAGAAAGCAAATGGTACCTACTTTTAACAATAAGTGTATCTCACTCTCAGCATAGGATGCAGTCTAGCATCATACCTATTAACAAAGTAGAACTTTTATAAAAAGTGTCCAGCTTTGTGTGTATTATATTTTATTGTCAGAATAGAAATAGCCTCTGATATTTCCTTTTAACCAAGCTTGTACTTAGTAAATATTTATTTTGATTCCATTAAGCTTGAGCAGCAAAGACATTAGATGATAAATATAAAAAAATAAAATAAAATAAATGGGCCAACATGACGGCTGAATTTCAAAGAGTTTATGCATCTGGGAGACAAAAAGTGAAATCATGGTCCCACTAAAGTCAGTTGCAAAAGTTTATTGACTTGAATAAAGCCTAGCTTTCAACTCAGATTTTTATCTATGCCTATGGAACCTTTAAAATCAGAAGAAATCTTGAAAATATAGGCTTTTGAATGGAATTGCTAGTATTTTGTTTCCTATCAATCTGGAAATACCAGGAAAACAACTTTTTCCATATTTTAGTTTTTAGCATGCAGTCTCAGGCAGTGCCAACCAGGGCCTAAATTATATTGGTGACATCTGCGTATGAAGGTGACTTTCCAATGGGAAAGAACTGTTTCATCTCTCTATCACCTTATAACTCCCACTCCAGTAAAGCTTCATTGTCCTAAAACTGGAAAGATGAAGCAACCAGCTAAAGGCACAGGATCAGTTCAAATGCCTGAAGATTCACTGGGATTGTGGAAATATTGTGAATACCAAGGAGTTGAAGATCATAAGTCACTAGGCCCCAGTTAACATTCCTCATGTGAAAGTACCACAGGTTGGATTCTGAGAGTTTTACGAGAAGGCTAGGTAGTCTAGTGGTGGGGGGAGGGAGGGGTCTTCTTCAAATTCGTATCCAAACTCCGAACTTTTTTTGAGGTTTTCATGCTTCAGCTGTATATGTTGGGAGGTGGGGAGGAGGTAGAGGATGCATTAATTAGAGCAGTTCCGAGAGCTGCTCTAATTAAAGCACCTGGAGCATCTTGTGTATCAACGTCCCTGCACTTAAAAATGGCAACAAGAGTGGTTTATCTAAAGCTCATCCAATGATCTCTAAATAAAGTGCCCCCACTGCCATTTTTAAGTGTGGGAACACTGATACACAACACGCAGGAGGCTGCTGGAGCATGGTAATTACAGTGCAGTGGAGCAGCCTCACTGCTCATGTATAGGTGCCCTTTGTGTATAGTTTGGCTCTATGTGCTGTGTTTGCGAGTTTTTATTTGCATAATAGGAAAAGGACTCCATACAGAAATGAGATATATGAAGATGAATCCCTGGGCCACTTTGGAGCCTCATTAGTTTTAATGGGGACCTGCACTTGTTGAGGGGCCCTCCTACTCAGATGTCATTTCAGAGTTGAGGCATAGTGTATGGGTTATGAGAAACAGTAATATTTTTAGTATCCTGTGAGTTTCTAGTGAAAAAAGGGCTTATCTTTGCTTCATCATTATATCTTTAGTTTAAAACATTTTGTTCCCTTGCTCTTGTTATCCACAGTACTGCTTTAAAGTCAGACATCTCTACATACTTTGTAAGAATGTTTAGTGTTATTTCAAGGTGTAGGATTAGATTGTAAATGACATCAGCTGCTTCCATCTTTATCATATTATGGGCACATATAGACATTTGCAAGTAAAAATCATTGTAAAAGCTTGCAATTCTCTGTGCTATCAAACAGATATTCATTTCTAGTGGTAAAATTTCAATCCCTGGCCTGGAGAGCAAGTGAGGAGCCATAAACCTTGAAAGCCAGCTCCTGATGCCCTGTGTGCTGCAAAGGGTAGGTGCTGCCTGCTTTGTGTAGCATATTCAGTGTTGGAACCTACAGTCTTGTGCACAGGTGGGGCTGAGGACCCTAGCTTTAAACCTGCTGTGCATGTCAATTAGCTCCCCCAAATCTCACACCCACAGCCCCTCACAAGACGGGGAGTGAAGCAATGGGACAATGCCCCCTCCATTCCCCAGACCTGGGACAAACCCCTCTTGGCAATGTCTCCCATGCCTCTTAAGACCAATGTGTTCCCAGTCTTGGGAAGGCTGCGGGGGCAGGGACAGTTCAACTCCTCCATGGGAAGAGTCAGACTTCAAAGAAATGTTCTCTACCCCCAGTTTCCTCAGACCAGAGTCTCATGGTCTAAGACCAGAGTCCCATAGTCTAGAAAAGGCACAGGGGCAGCTGCTGCTTGACTCCTCTGGATCACTGAGGAGTTAAGCACAAGAATCAGGGGTTCATTCTTATGAGTGAGTTTCTCTTATGGGGGGAGATCTTCAAGCTGTCAACCTGGAAGATCTTTCTCTCAGAAGTGGTATGTTTTCTTCAGGAGAAATGGAATGAACATGTGTACACTCCTAGTTTCTACTAGGAAAGTGGTGATCCTCCCTGTAGAAAAAAACATCTGTGCATGGCCTCCTTGGGTACATGCAGGTGTTACATTTAGATATACCTAACCAGGGTTAGGTGGGCCTACATGCCAACTCATGCAGGCATTCAGAGGGGCTGTTTCAGCCCAAAACATGGTGCACCTGATCTAAGTTCACCTCAGGACGTGCACTAACTTATATCAAAAAAGATTTAACCTGATCTAGAAAACTTCTGCATGTATTTGCAGCAGCACAGTCCTGGGGTTAGGAAAGCCCAGTAGCTTACCCCAGCCCTGGGACTGCTATTCCTATGCCACGCCCTGCCCAACCCCCACCTCCCAACCCTGCCCTCCCAAGCAGGCAACATCCCCCACCCCCCAAACCCACCAACCACCCCTCAGGATCTGCCACCCCTCCACGCCCACCCTGAGTTACTTACCTCAGGCTTCCAGCAGTGACAAATGACTGTACATGCTACTCCCAGTCTAGGTTTAAGCAGCTTAAAGTAAGCCATCTAAATCTAGAGAGGGCCCACTTGTTGGCACACTGTCTCTTGTTCTTCTCTCATCTGAACAAAATTACCATAAATGTCTGCAATAAAAATATTCAATGGGAAAAAATAAATCTACAAATACAGCCTGCCAAAAAAATCCCATGAGGTCTTTACATTTCATAGAAGACAAAATGTCAGTGTTCCAAAACCACAGGTGAATAATTGGTAAAAATGATTTCTTTCAGATTTTGAGAAAAATATTCAACACTTTTGCCCTGCTCAGATTCTGATAGTTTAGTTTCTCATGGGCAGCCATGTTACATCCCTTGAGTTTAATTTTACTTGACAGGTCGGGGTCTTAGTATTTGTTAATTAACAGTTCATTTTCTCATCAACAGTTGCATAGTTCCCAGTTGATTGGCTAAATAAGTCCCTCAAGTTGTTCTGTACATTATTGTCACACCTGTTACAGGGCTTTGGTGTCCTGGCAAGTCTGTGAAATTTAGTTAATTCTGTTTGAGAAAAGACTGGCTAAATGTACTGGTGCCATTATTTTTTTTCCATGAGTTTAATAAAGTCTTGGCCCTGATGTTCCATAAATCATTTCTCAGCTTCTCAATTGTCATATGCCAGTATCAGTTTAATGATAGAGTAAACCTAATTTCTATGGGGGTCTAAAACTCTAAAATAATTGATTAATTAAAAACGGTACTGTAATCTAAATTACCTCTTCAGAGATTTAGGAAATGTACCATACCTTTTACACTCATCTCACACCTATATGTGTGTGTGTGTGTGTGTGTGTGTGTGTGTGTGTGTGTATGAAACACATATAGTGCTATATATTTGTGGACACAGATATGCACATGTGTGTATGTTAAAACAAATATTCAAATAATTTTCTAATGCAAAATATTCCCAGAGTTTTAAATTACACATTTTATTTACTGGAGATTTAATTGGGTCCAGCCCAAAGCTACTGCCATACTAGAACAGTTCAAAATTGTTGGAAGAGGGCAAGAAAAAAGAATCAATCAGCTGCCAGTCTTTCACTTCTCCCGTTAGCTAATAGGAACCAGAGGCAGAATAGAGGCCCAACACTGGTATTTGGGGCTTTTTTCTGGAGAGTGCTGTATTTTCGCATCTGACCTTGGTGTTCTGAGGCTAGTGCATGGAATATCTCTTGGGTATACCATCTGTATTCTGGAGACAGTTCTTTTTCCCTAGAGTCTAGCCAAATTTACCTTGATCCTTACTAAAATATGGGGTAGTAGCAGACCTGCACATAGTCTAAAAATAACTTAAAATGCAAGTCAATGTTCATTGGAAAAACTAAGCCCCTTTCAAAAGCTTAAAAGTACAGGACCAAAGGTTTAATAGTATTAGGAGGAGTAAGGCACTTATCCTTCAAGCTGGGAAGTGTATGCTATAGAACTTGTGGCTTGTAAATAAGTATTTCTAATAAATAAACCTCAATGGAATTAGAAAGACATAGGAGCTTCATATCTGGGATTTACAAAAGGTATATCCATCTGATAAGCTGAAGCTTTACCAGGGAGCTGTCATTTCAAAAATAAGAATATTTTGAGTATTATTTAGATATTTCATTGATGAAAAGTGAACACTAGAAACTGCAGGCAGTAGGAAGCCTTAAGCAGCCAAGCATATCAAAATATAGTGCATGGAGAGACTTTTACTACTCCCGCTATTTAAAGACCTATTTTCATGAGCTTATTAGCTACTAGTGATCCCTAGGGAGAAATACAATTAAAACTTAATCATACCAAAAGCTTGGGTTCTTCTGATTCAGCGAACTTGTAATCTTTTATATTTAGTAGTTTACTTGTAAATGTCTTAGTACTAAGAAGAAAGACTTATAAATTAGTTTCAATCCACAGTAATCCTGCTACTCTGGATTCACATGGCATATTTTATACTTTGTATGTGTTTCTCTATATCTTGTTTACATGTTTTTAAGACTTTTACGAATTCTGAATGGCAGTATATTTTTTTAATGATGAGAACAAAATAACTCTGATGAGCCCGTTATAGCTCATCGTGTGCCCTCC